TTATTGAAACTCAAATCTAAATGTGAAATTTGTTGAACATTCTTAATTACAGTTTCTAACGAAGAGCAATCAACAGCTGTGAGGTGACAATCAATAAAATTTACACAATTAAAGTTAATTTGTTGTAGTTTTCTCTGAACTATCGACTCCATCTTATTACTTTCGTAACTACATTTAAGCAATGTCACTGCTAAATCCTTTTCGTCTTTAGTCGGCCAGCAGGTCACCATTTTGTCTTCGCTTTCTTCGGCTTCGTTTTTTTTCTCTTCAGTTTGCACAGGAAGAAGGTCAGTGATGATTTCGCTTGGTAGGTGGTTTTTCTCCTCCATTAGTCCCACCAGAAACTGAAAAACCAGCTGCCATTTGCCGTTCTTGATGTTTTCTGAAACAAAGTTCCTTAATTCTCTTTCTTTCATGTTGTTTGTCAGGTGCCGCGCTGCGAAAAACTCTTGCATTGTAAGGTGAATGAAACAGAATTGTTTCTCATCTTTTAACGCGGCATGTTCACGGTCGGGTAAGCGGTGAAAAAGGGCGCTGTCTTTCATTTCGCGTACTTCGTTTCCTCCAAGGATCAGTTTTCCTTCTTTGATTCCTTCAAACGCCACTCTTCCTAGTTTCTCGAATTCCCCCTCCACAGCCGAGGGCAAATCATCTGATAGAAAGTCTTCGCGGGTAAAATGTTTATCGCGGAATTCTTTCGTGTGTTTGAAATAAAATACTTTCACTGCAATCTTGTATATCGTGGTTAATTTGGAAGGGAGGGTAACACTAGCGGAACTTTCGAACTGCAATATTTGTGACAGACTTGAGCATATGATGAAGCTGTTCACAGGGACATAACAGAGCGAAAGTAAGTTCATGTTGCTGCTGATGTGTCGCCATAGTGTTTCGCCTACTTGATTGTCAACTCCGGCGAATTTGTTGATATACTCTTGAATTTGCTCGGTTGAAAACCCTAAGATTTCAAAAGTTTTGTCGAAATTAAGATGTGCGATACCGGTCAAAGCCGTAGGTCTAGTAGTCGTTACAATTGAAGCATCTTCAAGAAGTTTCCCGGTCACAAGCCACTGATAAAGGATTTGTAGCGGCATCTTGTCTTTAATGTTTCCGGGATGAGAAGGCGCCACGGCCATGTTTGCGTTATCTTTGAATTCGTCAAATCCGTCAAAAAGTATGAGGACACCTTCAGGGTGCTGCAGGATGTAATTCCAGACCTCATCATCCAGGTGATTTGAGGTGGAATGTTCTGACCGAGTGAGTAGTTCCCTAAGGCTAAGGTCGTCTGCCGAGTTGAATCTTCTGAACTTTACGAAGAAAGCAGCATCAAATTGGATTTGGGATTTGACTTTCTCAAATGCCCAGTCTCTGAGAAGTTTGATGCAACATAATGTTTTGCCGATTCCGGGGCGACCGACAATCAATACTTTCTTATTTTTATCATTTAGGAGGTCTTCCAGGCTTTTCGGATGTGATTCTTCGTCGCGCGACCTTGGATAAACTTTGAGTTGTTCTTGTCTGTCTGTAGTAAAGTTGTACGTAACCCTGTTGGGAATGATCACAAGGTTTGTGTAAATCTGATCCAAAGTCAAATCTGTGGCTTCTGTTTCTGCGCCTGGAGGACGTCGAAACGGTGATTGGAGTTCGTAGAGGCATTGGGTGTCTTCTTTGATGATTTTCTTCGTTCGTGCGATGAATGGTTGAAGCTGTTCAGGCTTATCATGTCCGCTCGTTCCCTCTGGCTGTTTAAGAACATTATGCGGCACGACTTGGTCTCGTGGCTGTAGTGGGACAACTGCATCTTGTTTTCGAGGTTCTTGGTGTAACTCGAATTGGATCGGAGGACGTTCATGTTCTCTTGGCTGAAGTAGAACATCATCCTGCTTTTGAGATTCTTGGTGCAACTCGACCCGGGTCGGACGGTTTCCCGGCTCTCTTAGCTGTAGTGGAACAATTTCATGTTGTCTTCTTCCTTCTTGCTCCTTACGTTCTTGATGCGACTTGTCATAGTTAGCATTTAGATGGGTTTTTAGGAAGTCTGAGTCTTGCATAAAATTCCTTTCTATCCATGCCTGTGTCAAAATATAGACGATTTCAATCAGAATGCCAGCGTCAAAAGTTCCATTCACTGCAAGGACAGCGTTCATCCAAAAGGTTTTCTTTATCGCTCGTTGATTGTGACATTTGTGTAAAGTACTGTTTGGGGCGGCGTTCGATGAATTCCTCGGCTGGTTGGTTCCAGAGTTCAAGCAACATTCAAACGTGGAGGAAAACTTTAAAGGATAAAGCAACTGAGTTTGCAGCAATATGAAGAGAACTCCTAGAACAAGTCTCATAGATAGTTGACAACAGTAAGCTATGAAAAGCTTGTGTCCGCAATTTGTTGTTTGTCCTGTTGGGTTTTCTTGGTCGCGCGACTGTCCGCTCTCTGGATCACTGTTACGACTGCTCGACGACAAATGATCGACTGCGTTTTTCACTATTTGGGAGTAGATAACACATACAATTCCAATAAGGAGGAAATTGATGATCACGAAGCCATAGACAGGAACACCGTACTTGTTGTATTGCTTCTGGTATTTTTCGAAACATTCCCCACGGATAAGGTCGATGTTTTCACTCTTGGTGCCACCGCAACGGAAATCGTACCTGGATTCGGTATTTTCCACTTCGGCAAAAATGCCAAAGAAAATTACACTGATCACGAACCAAATTAAAACTACGGCATAGCTAATTTTGTTGAAGGTTCTTGGTGCAAGTGATTCCTTGAGAAAATCCATCGTTTCAGTACTGTTTGTATTTTCGCTGTTTTCGATGAGATCAAATTTGCTCTACAGCTTTGGTTGTGGACTTCCGGTTAAAGATTGTGTCAGATTTTTAAGTTTGATTATGACAAAAATACGATTTTAACTATTGGCAAACTTACGCCGGCTGTCAATGGTTTATTCACGCACGCCATCATTTTCTTTCTGATATCGGAAACTGACATAGAAAACTGAAATGGACAGATAAATGTGTCGGCTGGTTCAAATTTTCTTTATTTTTAGTGCGTGAGATTCTATGTCGTTGAAAGAGGCGCAAAAGAAACAATTACAAGTATGGAGAGATATTTCGCTTTCTGAAGCAAATAGAAGCGTCACGACAAAAGAAATTGTGAACTGTCGCTGATAACTCTTCAAGTTTACCTTTGCCTTAGTCCGGGGCTTTCTACTGAGTATGAAAGCTCCTTAATAGGAGGCTTGGTCCCTCGACTTTTATTTTTACAAAGAGTCTGCTAAGTTACATGTTTTCTCTTTTCGCTTGTGTTACAGCAGAGTGTGGCTTTTCAGTGAAGAAATGAAAGACATTCCCGTACGAAAGCGAAACCATGTATCTGACTCGACTGTCATATCATTTCATATGTCTTCCACTGGAATTTTTTAAGGGATTTGCATCACCGTAAAGTATCCTTGTATTTTCCAAATAACAATAACCAGTCTTATTACTTAGATGCTCGTTCTCTCTGTGTCAAAAGAATGCTTGCTCTTCTGAAATAAAATAACTTTCGCCCCCGCCTCATGACGGTCTCAATGTGGTAAATCGTCATAAATGTAACATTGTTACCGTTAACCGTGCTGCTGACCAATAGTTCTGAAAAAAAAAAAAGATAAAAAAAAAGAAAAAAGGTTTTCAAGTTACCTCAAAGCTTTATCCGGCAAATAGACACTTGAATACAACAAACAACAAATCTGAAGAAATCAAAGTCGGACTCAACTCAAATGTTCTTTTGAGCTGTTATCTTGTTATATTTTCTTCTGATTTGTCGGCGGGTAAAGGGTAATACACTTTTCTTCAGGAATTTTGCTGAAAACAAATTTTTGCCGAAAATTGGTTTATTCAAATTTTGTAAAGATATTTTAACGTTTTATGAAGAACGTTTATTCTTAAAAATTAACCGTCAACCGTGAGAGATACCCAAACACTTAACCGTCGATCATCAGAGATACCTACACACCAAAATAAGCTGCGCCGAGGGCTATGGTGCGCCAACTGTAAGAAGGAAAAAGATATTTTGACTATTTAAATACATGATTTTTGTAATTTGAACGAAAAAGTGCTATTATTTCGTACCAGATCGGTGTCTTGTTTCTGTTTAGGTGCAAGAAATAAAAATTGTTGATAAATGTTATATTTAACCGCTTCAAGTGAAAGACTGAGTGAACCCTGGGCGCTTTCCTTGTGAACCAAATTGGATGTAGATCAACCATCAGCTAGCAGAAAACATGGAAGAGGAGAATTCTGATCGTCATGTTAATTTCTTTGCGAGTTTGACTAGCTCACAGCAAGCTTAGAACCTGCCAGAAGGCAAAATTAAATGAAGCATAGCTTTATTATTTTTGGAGCCCAGAGGATAGGGGAACCGTGAGGCTTTCGAGCTAACCCCTATATTCTTGAATCAATTTTCTCTCGTGGAACAGGGTACTCTTAAATATGTGGGATGCGGTGGGTTTTCTGTTTTGCGTGTGATTACAAATTTTCTGCAACACTACCTTCTAGCGTCATCATACAACCTTTAGCTTGTTCTTTAAGAATTGTGCTGTACCAGTAGCCACATGCGCTGTCAGATTATTTTTATTTCATTCAATAGAATAGAAGGGCAAGAACGAAAACTACGTAGACTTCAAGGAATCGACCCCAAAAATACACCAATGACAAAGTAACACACTACCCAAGCTGGGAACATACTAAGCTAATTTGGTATTCCAGTCATTTTCGGCTCTGAATGCAACCATTTTTCCTTTGCAAATTCTGTAAATCAGCAGAGCTCTTTTTTTCATATTGACACTGACTTCCTACCAGCATACACTTGTACACGCAAAATTGGTCAGCTGTTTCGATGATAAAAAAAAAGCAACGATGTTATGATCGTGCGCCCAATCATATCTCGGTTCATGTTATTTCGTGAGGTTTCGGGATTCCACGGGATAGGGACGATAACTGACGTCACACGTTCTCACAGCTCATGCGCTTGTCTTGCAAAATGGAAGAAGCAAATTGATGTGTTCAGGTTGAGGGTTTTTAAGGGAAATTTTGTCCAATGGAGAATTTGAGTGCTAGTTAATTGAGCACTCTTGTGGCTCAAGAAATGCGTAATTCGGAAGAGGTAAGAAAAATGGCAGATTTGCCTTATATTCCTCGTTATCACTTGTTGTACAAACGGAATTGAATTCAACCAAGACGTGTCCTAAAATTTCTTGTTCTTGCGTGTCTCAGGGTTTTACGTTTGGCGATTTCACAGCTGAAGAATGGGAAAAATACTTCAGTAATTCATTAGCTCAAATTGGAAATATACCACCGGTTGAGGTAAAAATTAGCTTACTAGATCTTTTTATTATACCTACGTCTGGGAAATTGTTTTTATTTTTAGGTTTATGTTATACTTCACGTCGAGACAATATTTACTCACGCTTTAGTTTTCGATCGTTCCTCGCGTTGGTTTTTTTTTGTTTCACTGAGATTTTCTATTTTGCAGTTTCTCTTCAACTTTAATTACTCAGATGACGAGGAACGAGGCGATAATTTTTTAGGTATGTATCTAATACTTACAAATTTATCTTCTCGCGAGCATCCACACTCGGCAAACAACACTATTTTAAAAATTTACATCGACATTTAATTTATGAGGCGCTCCATGTTGTTCGTAAGAAATAATGAAAGTAGCGAATGGTTATGGTGATGGTTGTTTATTTTCAAATATGAGTAATATTCCGGTTCGTCTTTGTTATGACGGAACTTGAGTTCAAATTTTAAATTTGTGTGATATAGAGCTAGTGTAATGTTCGGATCGAAGAGGAGTTAAGAGGGAGAGGCCGGGGAAAAATGTCGAAATACTATCAATGATCATGGTAGTAAACAATATTAAACACCCAGTCATGTGCAGACAGTGACAATACCCGTTTCCTTATTTTGTTGATGGTCAGCGTAATTTAAATATATATTGTTTTGATTTTTTCTTACTACTGGAAACTGATGAGTGAGACAAAGTGGATTACAACTTTTAAAATTATGCCCTGCAGCAAGTACAAATCCTAAATGTTACAACCTCTGATATTTTAATTGCTATTAGGAAGTTTTCATCACAAGTAGTTATAGTGTTGTAGTATTGTCACCAGACCCTAACAGTGTATAACTTCAAAAATGCTGTTGTTTAATTTAAGTGAAGGAAGTTGTGCTCTAACAAGGGAATCTTATACAAACCTGTCCTTCCAATAAGCAACAGTTGGGGGATAGGATATATTTGCGCCAGGTTTTCATGGCCTGAAGTAAGGTGCCAGTGTTTCATAAGAATCTTTTTAAGATTCTTGTCAGCAGGGTTAAAAGTTGTAATGAACAACAAAATCTTTTTTAGATGTTTTTGGTTTGCTTTTTAAAGCCTTGTTGCATGATAAGAATTGTACTTCTGCTAGGGTCTTTTCAACAAGGTCCTGAGCCTTGCCTTGTTCTATAAGAACATTCTATGAAGTTTTCTTCTTTTAGTCATAAGATTCTTTTACTGAGTTTGTTCTCAATAAGTGTAGTGTGTATCCTTTACCATAACTCTTCTTAACATTGAAAGGGAGGGATCAAGTATATTGGCATGTTTCTTTCAGCTTGTAATGTGTTTGAACATCAAGAATTTTTCTTTTGGTAAATCTAGGTCCTTTAAAAACTTCAGTATCGAGGAAAACCATTTTTTCTGATGACAATTCATACATGAATTTAATAGTGGCGTGGAATGAGTTAGTGATATCAATGAAATTGATGATTTCAATTTCAGGAATGGTCCACCTTAAAAAGTGTTATGAATGTATCTTTTTAACCCTCTACAGCCTAACATCAGTATGCATATTCTCCCTACTATTCTCTATACATTTCCAAAGATGCTGATACGGAGAATTTGTTAAATGATCAAGAGCTTAATTAGTTGATGGTCAATTACTTTATTCTCCTGACCTTACTGTGTGATTCAGGGCTGACATTGTAGGGAGAAATTAGATGCTAGTCACTCCGAGGGGTCAAAGGGTTAAAGAAATAGTTTAGGTGGGCTTGTATATACGTAGCTAGTACCTGTTTCTCAGTATGAGCCATGAACATGACCTCTATCTATTACCATTTTTTTTGTTCCTATAGCTATTCCGAGTGTTTCTAGATAGTGTTTGTCTTTGTCATTGAAAAAGTTTTCTTTAAGAAGCAGTCTCTTAAGGTCTCCCAAAATTTTGTTGTGATGAGAGATTTTAACTATAATGCTCTTCATAATATTGGCAGACGATATTAATTCCCTCCTCTTGGGGAATGTTAGTGTGGAGAGAACAAATGTCAAAAGTACCCAAATTGCTTCTTCTGGAAGTAGGATGTTTTTGTTGAAGTTTATAAAGTGAGTGGTGTCTTTGATATAAGACTGTTGTTTCCTTCAATCGGTTGTAAGGATGAGTCAACAAAAATGGAAATGTGCTCTGTTGGGCCAGTGCTCCAAGATAAGATTGATTGTCAACAGGAATGATTTCATGTACTTTGGTCAGTGTGTGAAATTCTGGTATTCTAGGTGGGTTTTGGCCTAAATTGAGCCACTTACAGGCCATGTCATCAATATGCCTTCTAGTAAACAAAGTGTTGACAAATTGTTTTGACTTTTGTGACTGTTTCAGATACTATTGCTTATATTAGGGGGTTATAGAATTTCTCATTAAGGACTTGTTTGTAACCTTCCTGAATTTTATGTTTAGTATCTTTTCTAACAATAGTGATTCCTTTGTCAGTGTTTTTAAGATTTATCTTGTTGTTGGTGCTAAAAGTTTTTTAAGTGCTTGTGTTTGTTTTGCTGTTAGATTGTCTTTTATGTTGGAAAAGGTTATAAATGAATGCAATCTCTAGCTTTGTACATTCCAATTAATTTTCTAAAGCAACCAACAATTGAGGTGGCGGTTGTCATTTAGATTTTACTCAGAATGGATGAGGATTGCTTTTTGAGTTAACAAAGATATATTGTAAGCGCACAGAGTGAGTAACTGCACACCATTGGTTTCAGGGGATGTTTATCCAAGCTTCAGTTTCTAGTATAGTTAAGATTGTACGTATCCATTTGATACCTTTGAAAGCAAAAGTGATTTGAAATTTTGCATCCTTATTTTTCCATACAAACTATAAATTTATTGGAGCAGATCTCTTAATTTTCCCAAAAGCAACCATACAAGAAGCATCAATGCACAACACAGCATTAATTCTCCTATGAGGAGGGGAACATTGGAGTTTGTGATTTTGGGATTTTGGACAATTTTTCTCCTGGTATTTCAGTCATTTCATTAATCTGGAATTGCATTATTGCGGTATTCTCCTAACGTGCAGGATACAGGTTACACTCTCTAGTCCTCCACTGTTTCTCAAGCCTTTTCCAGACTCTGATTCTTTTGTAAACAGACTTAAATAAAACTACCTGACTAAATATTCATTAACAAATTCTTAATTGTATTGCAATGTTCAGAACCCCTGAATATCCCCCTCTATAAGTGACCAAGACAGAATTTTTCCGTACAATACAATATCAAGCAGACAAGTGATGAGATAAAAAGAAAAAGATAAGTTAAGAGTATTCTTACCCAATCCAATACCAAATTCTCCAAACTAATATCATGAGAATTGTAAGGCAGACGGTAAGGAGAATTACAAATCAGATTTGGAAGTGGTAGAGGTAATATTACTCTAATATCCACATTTAAGGTAACATGTTTGTTTCTTTGCCTTGTAGCTGGTGACTCCTCAACACATGTCTCATCAAATGACAGTTCTGCGGCAGCTAAAAATGTTACGGCAGGTCTTGAAGACTCAGGTGTTGAAGTGGGACAAGAAAGTGAACAGGAAACATCTACAGGAAAATTGGCGAAAACAACAGCTGGTACAGGTGATTGTTTACCAGAAGCAAAACAGAAACAAGTCAAACAATCATCAGAGAAAACCATACAAAGTAGCTCTGAACATATTGTTTTTGGTGGAAACAGCATCAAAGAGCATGAACAAGATGTGAGGCAAAGCAAACCTGAAAGGTAGAGGAGTAGCTTAAAAATCCTTTTTGACATGAAAATTTTTCATTTCTGGTTTATGGTTCTTTTTATGTAATTAATATCAGAAAAATTTTTACTGAATTCTTAAAATTGTTAGAAAAGTTCATGCAACACCAACAGCTCAAAAGCTTTAATTCAATAACAAAATAAAAAGTCGTCCTAAGTCCCTTGGCTGCTTCATAGAAGTTTCACTGGAAAGAGGGTGGTCAATTTTTGTGGCATCTTTCTTCAAGTTATGTTTCTTTAGGGCAAAGTACTTTTTAAGTAATGAATTCTATACTTGACAAGTAACAAAGGTATAATAGGGAGTAAGTTTTTAAGAAACTGTGGTGCTGCATCAGAGGAATGGTATAACACTTGGTGATTTGGCATCATCAACTGAGTTGATAACATAACTTGAATTGGCGAATGGCTATTCAAAGGGCTTTCACAAAGGGTTAACACTCAGAATGTCAGCTTTGAACTTCTTAACAGTAGCCAATTTACATTATCAACGTAGTTGATCTTACAAAAATTACTGCATTCAAAAGGTGTTTGATTCTTGATCCTGGCCACCCTAGCATCAGAGGTGAGTTGAGGGTTTCACTGTTTATCCTTATTACATCAAGGATTTGTCTTTGTGGTTTTCATCTTTTTACAGGATCCAGCAATGTGAATTCTGAGTTTTTCTCTGCAAACAGAACACATGAAAACTACCTTGTTTATGTTCACTGCTACATATAATATGTTATTTTATTCGATCATTTTGATTATGTTCCATTCTTATACAACATGTGATGGGGGATTAGTTGTTACATAATTTTTAAGTATAGGGTAACTTTATAGATTACACTTCAAGTTGAGAAAATTCACAAATACATGTATTGTTAAATGAAGAATTGTTGTTTTATTTTGCAGTCCCTCAAGAACTTCAGCAGCTGATGTTGACCACTTCCCTCCCTTGTCATTAACAGTGAACACCCAGAGAGCAGTGGAGAAGACAGAGACTGAAAGATCACGTAAACGGCGCAAGCGAAGGAGACAGAGAAAGAGGTCTGGATCTGTGTCCAGCTCTTCTAGTGAATGTAGTGAAAAGGAAAGGGCTTCAGTTAATTCCAATGGCTCTGGGCTAAAAGGAAAAGCTGTGGCATCTTTACCTACTACAGATAAAGTTGTTCTCAGTGATGATGTTAAAGAAGCTTCAAAAGTACAGGTAAATGTTTTGAGCGCAAGGTTAAAGGAGCAAAAATCCGATGCTCTCTCTAACACAGACAAAAGAACAGCTGTACAGAGAAAAAGCACAAGTTCTTGCGATGGAGACACTGTGGAAGAAAGGAAGAGTTCTTTATCAACAGAAGGCACATCAAACAGCCCTGTTTACAGTGACACAGACATTAAAGTTACAGTTTCCATCAACACTGCACAAGATCCCTTAAGCTCTAATCAAACCTATAAAAACCTGGAAAAAGAACATGAAGGTTCCATCCCAGTGGATCAGAGTGTAAAAACAAGTGGTGCACCAGAAGAAATCACTGGCAGGAAAGATCAGCCTCCAAAGCCTTCATCATGGGCAGACTTGTTCAAAAACTCTGCAAAACCATTACCTGGTATTGTTGTTAAAACAGTAAGTCCTGTTGTGAGAAATGAAATGCAAACAACTTCAAATCCTAAAAAGACAGATGATACATTACAGATACCAGTTACTGTGGAAGAGGACAAGTTTGCCAAGAAATTTGCAGGTAGATACCTCTAAAGATTCTCTCTCTGTCTCTCTAACTGTCCATCTGTGTGTCTGTCTATCTGTGTGTTTGTTTTTTGTCTATCTGTCTGTCTATCTGTGTGTCTGTCTTTCTGTCTGTCTGCTTTGTAGTCAGTCATTGTCCAAGTAAACAGTCTTGAACTTGATGTGGTTGCACTAGCAGTCCAGATATTTCCACAAGGGGACATCAAGTATGGACTGTAAGTGTTGCACTCTTATTTTGTGTGTGCATGTGTGTGTGTAAATATTGCTGTTTGGAACAAAACATCAATTTTCTTATTGGTTTTTTTTTTCTCAATTATTAAACTTTGAACAGTATTCCAAGTTAAGCTGGAGTGAAATTAAGTAACATTTTCTGGTTTTTAAAAAAGAGAAGGGATGTGAAGAAAATAATCTTGAGGAGTGGAATGTAACTAAGTTTAAATTACAAATCAGAACTGAAGAAGAAAAATATTTTCCAAAACTGCAATGGCTAAGGTTGTGATGCACATTATTATTTTATGGGTGTATTGTTACTATAAGAACTGAAAATTCACTATGATAGAAAAGTACCACTTGTAGACTGAATTCATACATTTCTTTGTGGTTCATTTTTTTTTTATTTGCAGAAAGTATTCAAAGACAAGAGTTACAGTACATCCAAAAACCTTACATTCCAAGAGGACTGATCAACAGAGGGAACTGGTGTTACATTAATGCTGTATCCTTTAAGTTACATCAAGAAATGTTGGATCAATATCAGTATCTGGGCAACTGCCCACCTACCCCTCCCCTAACTCAACAACAGTCAATTGATAGCAACTTAGGGTTAATGTTGGGTTAAGGGAGGGGTAGGTGGGCAGTTTCCCAGATACTGATATTGATCTGAAATGTTCATGTGAACCCTTCACACCTCATGATTAGTGTCCATATTCTTCATACTCTTGTCCGTACACTTTCTTGGGTGCTGACAAGGAGAATTTGCTTATTGGTCCATAAAAATTCCAAAAAAGAACTTGGCCAACGTCCAGCCATCTTGACCTCATGTTTGGTCAATAATGCATGTTATATATCAGGCAGACAAGTGATGAGAGTAAAAAAAACATCAATCAGGGGAATATCAGTTGATCCAATACCAAATTCACCAAAGTAACATCATCAGAATTGTATGGCAGGCAGTGAAGAGAATTACTAACAAGTGTCAATGAATGATTGAGCATTATTACTGTAAGGAGAAATGAAATGCTGATCACCCTTTGGGCTTAAAGGGTTAAGAGATCACCTTTTATTGATTAGGTGAAAGACAGAGTTCATATCTTTCTTGATTGCTTCTGCAATGTCTTTTTAACTCAAGAGTGAATTTCATATGTATTGGGAACAGTAACTGTTTTTTGTCCTTAACTGTGAACAGACTCTTCAAGCTCTGGTGGGGTGCCCACCATTTTTCAACCTACTGAGACAATTGCCTTTACTAAAGGAAAGAGGTCCAACATCAACACCTATTTTGGACAGTCTGTAAGTGAAAAAGTTTTGTCTTGCATGGGAGCACTCTGGTCAAAAGTTGTTAAATTGGCCACCTGTCTCGGTCTAGTTTTTCACCTTTGAAACAATTTTTTTCAATTTTGTAAGACTGGTATTGTGATGTCTATGTATGAGGCAAAGCATTTCTAACGAACTTCAAGCATGGCGGCCTTGTTTACAATATGTTCATGCAAAAAGAAAATGTACTTGCTATCAGTAAAACAAAGCAAAAAATAAAACCTTACTCCCTTTTTCAAGTTTGTTTTTTAAGATAACGATTTTTTCCCTTTTACAGAATAGTCTTTATGAATGAGTTTAAGGAGACAAAGATAAAACCAGGTATGTGTTTACAACAGTTGTGAAAATTAGAGAGAGATGTTGTTTTTTGTCTTGTCATGAGTGTGGGACAAAGAAAAAAATTCTGAGTCCCCATGAGGAATCAAACCTCAGACCTTCAGAATCCACACTTCACTGCTCTGAGAATTGTTTTTAGAGTAGTGCTATACCTGAATGGTCTGGGTAAACAAGCCCACTTTTCATATTACTTCAGTCACCTCAGATTTTTTATCTTTCAACTTACTGTCATTTTGTATATTATTACTTGAAGTTAGGATAACAATGTTTAGAGTTATTCTCCTCCACCTTATTTGCATGTTCTTGAATCAATCATAACCATCCTTTAGAATCATACTCTACACAAAGAAAAATTTATTTTTTGAAATATCCTCTTCATTCTAAGTTGGCTATTTATGATTTTTTTTATAGGTGGCAGTTCTCCTTCTTCAAAACCTGAGTTTAACACTGGAGAACAATTTGAACCTGTATATGTATACAAGATGTTAGCGATCATTCAGAGCTCACTCTCAGTTAAGGTGAGTTTTTTTCCTCCAGAAACACAGTGATACTTGCTGATTATTCTTATTTTCTGCTTCCTCTCTTACGGTCACATAAAAGTGAGGGGACAGCAAAATTGGATAAGAAATGTGTTAATGGAAGTATCAAAAGGTGGTTGAGACCTTATTGGGCAGGACACACCCTGTCACCTCTCAAATTCTCAATTGTCCAAGGTTCTTCTTGCTGTAAAATCTTGCCTGCTCCACATCAAGGGATAAACATGATCAAGAAGTCTAGTTGACTTGTTTTGTGGGGATTGAGAGCACAAATGTGTCATGAATCATAGTCTCACTCTCCTCAACGCTGGCCACAAATAAAGACAAATAAACAAACAAATAGTCATCACCACCACCCGCGAAAGATTAGCCAAAATCTCCGAGCTACTCAGACCTGTTGGAAAAAGGGTTCCCAAACTTGTTTTCTTCACAAAACTTACTCAGAAGAAACTGATCACAAGCTATCTATGGTTTTTAAATGAAATATTGGGGTAACTTGTTGAAATCTCTTATAGGGCCGACAGGAGGATGCTCAAGAGTTTCTTAGCTGCATTTTAAACGGATTACATGAAGAGATGCTGCAGCTTGCAAAGATAATATCAAAACCGCTGAAAGGTTAAGATTCTCCTAAACTCTCTTAGTACTGATCCTTACACCCTAACGAATAGCCTTTGTATTAGGAGCAGGTCTTCATGGTTAGCACTGCAGCGCCAAAGAGAGTTTGAGGGAGGCGAAAGTTGTGGGAGAGGTCTGGGTCAAACCCGTTTACAGACCTCTGTCTCTTTCAAACTCTCTCGCTGACAAGGAAACGCTCGTGTTGCAGTGCGGATAAGAATGACCTGCTCGATGGTGATGGCCTTTGGTGAGCGAACGACAAAAAGTAGAACTCCGTGATAATGGATCATTTCAAAATGAGGTGTATAACCTTTGTTCATTTATTTTCTTAGCCCCAGAGAGAGATGTTGACTTGCCATTGAAGGCTGAAGACTCGGCAGATGATGATGAACCTAAAGCTGAGGAGCAGGAAGATGAAGGGGACTGGGAACAAGTCGGACCCAAAAACAAATCCATGGTGACTAGAATGGTAAGTGCCCCCCATCCCCCTTTCCCCCCCCCTCAAAAAAAAGAAAAGAAAGGAGGCTCTTTTTACTCTTTATTGTTCCTAATATTTTCCAAAACATTAATTTTTAGTGCTCCTGGAACTCATCAATCCTTCCAAAAGAAATTGAAAGATCAAAATTAGCAAAAACAAATCAGTCAACTCCTTTAAATATGTCATATGTCTTTCCTTTAGTAAAATATGTCAATTTTATGTTGTGGTTTTCCCAGTTGGGCGTTGTTGTTATTGTTGTTGTTGTTGTTTTTTTATGTAGTATCTTTAACCTTACTATGCAAATTTCAGGCATCGTACCCGCAGTCACTGATATCGGAGATGTTTGGCGGTTTTCTGCGCTCGTCAGTTCACCAAGCTGGATTGAAGGACTCTGCTAATGTAGAACCTTTCTTCGAACTTCAGTTGGACGTGCAGGTTTGCAACTTACGGCTCATGTCAGAGGGTCTCAATGGGGTGCTGGATCTAACGGCTCACGGTTCAAATTTTGACCACTCTACAGCTAACGGTTAATTTCCTTCAGTTGCGATTGAAAGAAGAACTTTTTACGGTTAATTTTTTTTTACAATAAACTATTGAAATGTGTCGATTTTTTGCCGTTTTATGGCAAACGGTTAACACCTCATCAAGACCCTTTTGCAAGAAAGTGCGGGAAAAGAGCAGTCCTCGTCAGATTTTGAAGCATTTTAATGTGGTTCCTACACGAAAAATACTCTCCAATGTACCTTACCAATTTTTATACACCTATTTTCAATTGAATTTCCAGAGCCAACCCATTTTTTTTCTTACTTCACAACGCTCCCTGATTGGTCAAGAAATTTCCCATCACTTCCTCAACCAATAAAACGCAGAGTGGAAAGGAATTGTCACTTGATCACATGCGCTTTCCCGCGCTTGAACATTGTCTGGTTACTTTGAGTTCTCATTGGCTTAGTGAAAAATTTTCTTTTTTTCCATTTAATTGACTGCTCTGTTGAGTTTGGTTTTTGGTGTCAATTTGTGTTTGTAGTGAGACTTCCTGATTTGTGATGATCCATATTTTTGATAGACTGTTACATCCGTTGAAGATGCCTTGAAGAGCCTGGCTTTGAAAGAAGAAGTACAAGGTTACACTTGTACTAAAACTAAAGTACAGGTAAGGGAGAGAAATAATTTTTGTGATGACATGAAGGATTGGTAACTATTGAGCTTAGACGTCGTTGAAAAAACAATGCTGTTGTTTCGATGCGAATGTGGTATAACAAAACAAAATCTGAGTCTGTAACGACGATTAATCAAACTAATATGTCCTTTGACGTTTCTTTAAGGTTGACATTTGCCGACGTGTGACCCTCGAAGGGCTCCCTAAAGTCCTCATCTTGCACTTGAAGAGATTTATTTACTCCAAATCTGGCAGCCAAAAGCTAACAAAGGTAGTTGATTACCCCTTGGAGCTCACCATTGGAAAAGGTAAAGTCCATGAACGGATCTTTTCAAAGTAGTTCGAGGCGATGAGAAATGACTAAAAAAACCAACCAAAGGATGTATATAGATAGGCATCCAAGGTAATGGAAAATGCTAAAAATATGAGATACGTCTCTGGTTGAAGCTATTTTTCTGAAAAAAAAACGGACAATAGTAAATGTTGTAGAAATCAGTCGATCGATCAGACAGTCACGTTCATTCATTCAGTCAACCAGTCAGTTAGTCAGTCTGTCTGTCTTTCTCTGTTAGTTGGGAAACCAGTTAATCAGTCAGTCAGACAGGTAACCAGTCAGTCAGTTAGTCTGTCCATTAGTAGGTCAGTCAGCTAGTTAGTCAATCAGTTAGTCAGTCGGTCAATCGGTTAGTCAGTCAGTCAGTCGGTCAGTCAGTCTGACGAAGCTCTTTCAGTCAATTAGTCAGTCAGTCAGTCTGACTAAGCTCGTTCAGTCAATCAGTCAGTTAGTCAGTCTGACTAAGCTCGTTCAGTCAATCAGTTAGTCAGTCAGTCAGTCAGTCTGACTAAGCTTATTCAGTCAATCAGTCAATCAGTAAGTCAATCAGTCTGACTAAGCTCGTTCAGTCAGTCAGTCAGTCTGACTAAGCTTATTCAGTCAGTCAGTCAGTCTGACTAAGCTCGTTCAGTCAGTCAGTCAGTCTGACTAAGCTTATTCAGTCAATCAGTCAGTCAGTCAGTCTGACTAAGCTTATTCAGTCAATCAGTAAGTCAATCAGTCTGACTAAGCTCGTTCAGTCAGTCAGTCAGTCTGACTAAGCTCGTTCATTCAATTAGTCAGTCAGTCAGTCTGACTAAGCTCGTTCATTTAATCAGTCAGTCAGTCAGTTTGACTAAGCTTATTCAGTCAATCAGTAAGTCAATCAGTCTGACTAAGCTCGTTCATTTAATCAGTCAGTCAGTCAGTCTGACTAAGCTTATTCAGTCAATCAGTAAGTCAATCAGTCTGATTAAGCTTATTCAGTCAATCAGTAAGTCAGTCAGTCTGATTAAGCTTATTCAGTCAATCAGTAAGTCAATCAGTCTGACTAAGCTCGTTCATTTAATCAGTCGGTCAGTCAGTCTGAATAAGCTCGTTCATTTAACCAGTCAGTCAGTCAGTCTGACTAAGCTCGTTCATTCAATTAGTCAGTCAGTCAGTCTGACTAAGCTCGTTCATTTAATCAGTCAGTCAGTCAGTTTGACTAAGCTCGTTCATTTAACCAGTCAGTCAGTCAGTCTGACTAAGCTCGTTCAGTAAGTCACTCAGTCTACAAGTTGGTCAGTGAGTCAGTCTGTCAGGTAAACAGTCGCTCAGTAAATCAGTCAGAGTTAGTCATTCCTTCAGAAAGGCAATGTTTTTTCGTTGATAGTGACTCGTTGAATTTCAGCACCTTGTTATTTGATTTAACGATAATTATCGTCTTTGCTTTAAATAGACCTGCTATCTTCGAACGTAAAGAATAAGTACTCTGCTTCTCAAAAGAACTATAAGCTTTTCGCCGGTAAGTAAAGTTTTACTCTGTTGTAGTAACAAAAAAAATTGTCTGGCTTGAACAGCTATCATCTTTTAGAATCTTTAAAATGTTTGTTAGTTGTTCTGACAAGCCCTAAACCTGATACAGCGCCTTTCGATGGATGGCTGTTCTAAAAACGGAAGAAAAAATTCAAGGTGACAAAAAAAGTTTTATCAGGCGCAGGAAAACTCGAGTTACCAAGGCAGAATAGGTTTTAGTTTAAAAATAATTAGTTGACATGGTAGTGGAGTAAAGGAAGAGAATTAAACCAAATACAATCCTGTATTACTTTCTTCACACTTTGAAAAAAATTCTCTGGAAAGTGTCTGGCTGGCTGGCTGGCTGGCTGGCTGGCTGGCTGGCTGGCTGGCTGGCTGGCTGGCTGGCTGGCTGGCTGGCTGGCCGGCAGGCTTTTCCAGCTGGTGTCAAAAAGGTTTCCCAATTGTGCTAACGTGTCATTTGTGTGAATTTCTTTTCCAGTTGTGTACCACCATGGAAAAAATGCATGGGGTGGCCATTACACGAGCGATGTCTGTCACCCAACACATGGCTGGATTAGAACAGACGACACTAGGCTTAAAGTCGTGCCAGTAAACTACGTTCTCAAACCCACACAGGGAAAAGATCCATACATGCTTTTCTATCGAAGAACAGACCTCATGCCTTGAAGTAGGCGAGGCAGAGAAGGGAAGGGGGTAGTGTCTTTAGAACAGTAATTCTCGTTTACACTGTTAAGTTTTCCTTGGCATGTTCTCTAAGGTCGATTGGAAGGGAAAACATAACTTTTTGGTTGACAAAATTCATGAGGGAACACTGAACGCTTGCTCGCCAACAATATTCACCACGGGCTGGAAGATTTATCAAGGATGGAATATTCGGAGGGAAATGCCACTCAAAACCATGTTTGCCCGTGAATTAGGGTTGACTGATAAATTTTCTTTGCTCGCGTATGGAGTGACTGTGTGTTCTTGCCAGGCCAAGGGAAAATTACTCGTGTAAATTTGGTTGAACGTTTTAGACATGTTAAGTTATCTTCATATCATGATTTGTCTCGTAATGCCTCTATGGATTGCGTAACGCACCAAAGAACGGCTAACTGGATAGCCTAAGAGTAAGTTCGATGATCTTTTTTAGGAGGCACAAGTAGCCATTTAGGGTTAGAAAACAAAAACTTACACCTAATCAAGAGAACGTCAATTGCGCAGTGTGTTATGGGAATAACACACTGCGCAATTGACGTTCATAACAGTAACGCCGAGATGAATAGTTGTTTAAGTAAATGCTAAAACAGTGAAGTAATATAGCACAAAGAGATGACTTTAAATTATATATTTTTGCAACGATTACGTTATTTTCGGGCGCAAATTCCTCACGGGTTGATTTGAAGTGAATAGCAATACGGAGTTTGAGTAGCCAATCAGAGCGCACCTTCAACGCTATCCACTGTTTTAGTACATACTAAAGAGGCTTATCACGGTCGCAACCAAACATACAAACGCCCGCTAAGTTCGAACAAATTTCTCTGTGATCTCGTTTCGTATAGAAATAAGGGACTAGCGAAGACTTCTAACGTATACTCCGAAGGTTGTTCCTGGTGAGTTTTGTGATAAATATCTCTACTACTCTTCAAGAAAATATAGAATTTATCCACGGCGCTGTAAACAACCGGGCGTAAATACCTGTATGATTTGGAGCCATATCTTCTTGACAAAAACTTCTCAAAAAAATTTGAAAAAAAAAACGTTAGGTGTGAGGTTTAGACCAATGTTACTAAAAGTCCTTTGTAGATGCTGTAAGAGACAAGTAAAGGAAAAATAGGGCGAAGCGAATGTAAGACATTGGCAAAACTACGATACGTTGGAATAGAAATAGGAAACGGAAATAGTCAATAATTTTTTTTGGTTGATGTGTAATTTCGTAAGTGAATTGAAAAGGATGACTGAAATGAAGATTAAAAAACCACCATGGATGATGAAATGTGGATACGGAGATTTAAAATGAAAGATGGCATTTGTAACTGTGGAAAATACATCTAAATGTTTGCGAACAATCTCGACTAAGTTTTAAGACAACTCTACTGCCTACAGCTAGAGGCTAGAAAAGGATCTGATGGTTGATTGAAGGAAAAAATTATGCCGACACTCGGTAGGAAATGACACACTCTGAAACTGCCTCCCGAGGTTCTGTGAATGCTCGGAAAGCTGCACTAGTGACTGTAATTTTAGTTACTCACTTCGGCATTAAAAAGTCATGAAGCAAAGATGTTTGGCGACAACCTAATGTGGAATGCAGTGATGACTTGCCAGAGACTTTTCTTAAATTAAAAATTTAATGTCGGGAAGGAAAACATGTAAACAACCGGTCGCACACGTTCTTGCTGAGGTGAACCATTTTTGTGTCACTGTGATAAAAGTCTAAACACCTAATTCTTATTTGTGACTAGAATAACGAACGAGCAGTGCATAAAACACGAGAGTCATTCAAAGAAAAATATTTTCAGGTGTAATTAAGTCTCTATTGAGTTTGGTGTTAAAGTATTTGCTGATCTTCGCTATGAAGGTCATTTAGAAAAATGTTTACCATCTAAAATCCGAAGAAGTGGTTATATTTGTTGTTAACATCAAACAGCAGTCACATTTGGACACACAGAGCAAACGCAATGAGCCTACCAGGAACTTGGAAGAATAACATGCTTTTAGTGCAAAGTGTGGGGAGATAATTTAGAAGGGGCTTACCTGGTGTTAATCAAGTTTTTGTACTGGTTTGAGTGGAAAGAAATGCATTTTCTCTGGGATAATACGTCTTTGTGAGGCCTACGTGTCAAAGTGTTACTACGCTTTCAACGTTATCCATGTCACAACTTTCAATGATTTTTGACTGAATAAATGATTCTTTTGAGAGACCATGGCCTGAAAGTGTGTAGACATGTTTCTTTTATCGACCCTTGGCTAGTTCTATTGGGAGGGGGATAGGTAGCTTGGACTCTACAGAGCGCCTGCCTCCCACCATCATAGCCTGGGGTCGATTTAGAAGCGTCACGTCAAGTTTGAATTTTGCTTTGTAGTTCTTTCTCAGAAATATCTAGTTTGCCTCATTCCACAAAAGGCAAGTTGGCCAGAAGTAGGTGGAGAGGGAACACTCCCTTGATGCTTCTCGGATAAATCTCATTTCGTTTTACGTCCCTAGGAGGGAGCACGCCGCGCCCCTCTTCGCTTTTGGCAAAGCCCTTGATTGTCACGGGTATGAAAAACTAAGAACACTAATAGATAGTTTAATCCTAGTTTTCAGAATCGACTAAGTATCAATTCATATCGTTTTATTTTTCAAAAATTTACAAAGTTAACATTTAACCATAGTGATGATGTCCATAGCTTATTTTAGCTGATGTTCAGCTTCACTCCCTGGGAATAGAATTCAAACATTGAGGACAGATGCAAATCCATCCTGGTTTGTACATGATGAAAAGTTGACACAGTAGTTGCTCGAAATATCTAAGCTACTTCAGCCCTTCTTTAAAAGTTCCTCTCCTTTCCTTCGTGCGACTAAGTGGGTATGGTGGTTGAAGGGGCCTCTTCCTCGTCCCCATTCTCCTGCAGTCCTTCTAAGCCTTTGGGGAGACTAGTATCTTCTACTTCGCTACCAGTTCCCTCGACGAATTCTTCATAAGTCGACTTTTCTTTGAAAGGCCTGCGACCTAACAGGTCAATCATGTCTTCTCTGTCAAGAACTTCTTTTTCCAAAAGTCGTAAGGCAATCTGTTATGCAAGGAGATCAGTAAAAGTAAATTAGCGATACGCAACCAGACGATACAACAATCTCTAGTAATAAGCAAAATCTCACGCTGATAGCTTCTCGAACAACCTCTATGGCCTATTACTGATTGCATCTTTTTATGGTATTTGGTGAACTGGCCGGCTAGGGTATTCAAATTGTTAACGAGGAGCAGTGTCTGCCATTTGATGATGTCATTCTACAGGGTAACAAAATTCGCTCGGAGAGAAAGACAAAAGTTGAAAACAGGAGTATCTCAGACAAGCTCGTCGTAAGGTGGGTCTAAATCAACCGAGAACTTGTCAGTTTCTTATGATTCCAAAAAAAGATGGCTGTGTCATTCACAGAAACAGAAATGTAACAGACCGTTCCCCTCGAGTCAAGTCAAACCCTATTGAAGATTTTAATCAGCCATCCCCTACCTTTTCTACATCTTTTTTGTGTTTGGTGAGCAGATCAAATGTTCTTTTGTACGCGTTGTTGATGACATCTCTGGCCTGTTCGTCAATGAGCTGTGCAGTCGCCTCACTGTAAGGTTTATCAAAAGTAGGTTCTCCCTCGCGGGGCAAATCAAAAGACACGTTTCCAACCTTTTCATTCATTCCAAATGTCACAACCTGAAGTCAAGTAAAACAATGTCTACGTAAATGTTGGAGGGAGGAAAAAGTACTGTTCTCGTATTGGATTACATTAAAGAGAGAAAAGAAATTTTCAGCAATGTAGAAAGGCGTCCGTTTTGTGTTTAAAGTTGAAACTTTCCCACAAAAAAAGCCAATTTCTGTCTCCACTGGAGAGCCGATGGAAATACACACGAGCCAAAATATCAAAATGTTCTCCGAAACCTACCTAAACGAGCCTAACTCATCTTGAAATGAAGGACATCCATGATGTGACCAAGTTTGGGTAAGACGGCCTCAACCTTCTCATGTTAATTGCGTTCCAATTACCCGCACACAATTCAACAGAAATTAAAAAGCTTTTTGGACGCTTGGCCGAGTTTTTAACGTGTTATTTAATGTACCTGCGCATAAGCACTCTTGGTGACTTTACTGAGATCGTCCTGGGCACCGGTGGTTATTCGTCCAAAGAAGATCTGTTCGGAAACCCGTCCTCCCAATGTCATACACATACGGTCTAACAGCTAACACAAACACAAACACAACCATCAATCTGACATCGAACGGTATAAAACAAAGATTTTCTATGATACAATTTTCAAATGATTATTGAAGGAAAACCAGTAGCTAGTGGTTGGCTGAGTCGAAAGGCGCTCTGTTGTGTGATTCACACAATTAAAGGACAAGACCTTTTCACACTTGAGTACGAGCTTCCCAAACACTAGCCAACTACTCGGTATCACTGTGCTGTGGACGTTACCTGTTCAGTCGAGTAAAGGTATTGTTCCTTGGGGAGGTACTGCGCGTAGCCGAGACCCTTGCCTCTTGGAATTATTGAAACCTGAAAAGTAAGATTTCTTTCAATAATGCAAAATATTAGAGTACAAGAGGTACCAGCGACTCTAAGCCGGGCACCCCTGTATTTCATAATTTATCCTTTTTTCCATCACCTAATTAACCAATTACAAAGCAACCAAAGATTCCCGTAAAAATTTAACAGGACCACGCTGCACCGCACCAGGTAAAACTTGCAGCCGCAGACTTCAAGACTACATTGAACCACTTTGCTCAACAGCTGATAACATTTGCAGTGGTATCAGCAAATTCGGCCCACGCCGTAGAAAGAAAATTTGAGTCTGGTTTAAATTAAAGTTTATCAGCAGGCGAACTGAATGCACGAATGAAGATTCACAAGTTCACCTTCAGAAGAGGATCGGCATGTTCAAGGAACCATCCGGCCACTGCGTGACCCGCTTCATGGTACGCTACAACTTTCTTTTCCTCCGGCTGTAAAACTTGAGTTTTTTTCTCCAGACCTACGACAAATGAGAGAAGGGTGTTTAACGTCACCTTCAAAATTGAAAGAATTCTTAGAGAGATCATTCAAGAGGATGATATGCTCTTGTGTACACTAAAAGATAAAATATCTACAGTATGTAATCCTGAAGGTCTACGTTTTCAGACGCGGTTCAGTCGGACCCAGGCCCGTCATTAAAAAGGAACTTGAGAGAGCATGTGGAAAAACAGAGGGGTCTAAATATAGACAAAGTGCTCATCTTTACTCGCTCCCTTTTTCCTTCCCGTGCGCATTAATCAAGGGACTAAAACGGAGTATCCATGCAATCACACCCAAGATGTCGCGCATCACCATGTATTTCAAAATATTTTGTCATGGCCACTGAAGGCTTGAGGCAATTCGACACGACTATCAAAACTTTTGAGTTATGCCCCCATGAACCGTGCAACAGCACTCTCTTCACTCACCTCCAATAACACGCTCAATGGCTTGTTCAAAATGCATCAACTCCACCTTTGGCATAAGATGCCTCGCAGCAATGAGGGCAGCCTCGTTACAAACATTTGCGATGTCAGCTCCTGCAATCATTCACATAGTTATCATTAAAAAAAAAAAAGAATGTGATTATCAACCAGAAGATAAATCTTCAGTTCTGAGTTAAGCGTATCCAGGAGAACTAGCTCAAAGGCAAACCTGTAAATCCTGGAGTGAGTGCCGCCATTTTTCGCGCAACTTGATCGAGATTCAGTTCTGTCTTCAGAGGCTTCAAGTGTACTTTAAAAATAGAACATCTACAAAGAAAAAGAAGGTCATTAAAAACTTGAGTTTCCTGAAAGTCAATATACGGCCTTAAGCTGGATTCATACACCTTGATCGGTACAGGCATTTTTACCAGCCGAGAGGAGAAAAACGCTTGGCAACCGCGACGAAACTGCAGAGAAAATGCGCTGCGACTGCTTCTCCGCTCGCGTGTGACTCATCAATTTTCACTTATCCCACGCTTGTATCCACTTTAAGGGTAAACACAATAGAGAGAACTGACATGTACGCCAGCTAAGCTTGGCGACTTACCTTCCCTTGATATCTGGTGGAGGCAGATGGATCTGTCTGTCAAAACGGCCGGGTCTTAGCAGAGCAGGATCGAGGATATCAGGTCTGTTGGTACCAGATAGTACCACTACATTTGTTGATGAACTGAAACCTTTGGTAGAGAACAACATTTATATTACAAATACAATGTGCAAACTGTGATTACATTCCAAAGAAACATGAAAAAAAGTTACGTTTATCTAAACAGCAAAAGAGAATAAATACTGGCAGTGTAGAAAACAGTATAGCAATCTTTTTTTCTTATTAGTCTGACAACCTACAGTACATTAAATCTCTTTCCAACATTTTAACACTTTGGATCAACTTCAAAAGAGTTGAGCTGGGAGCCTAGAATTCCTTTCATTTATTCTAACACGATTAACTCCGAAGTGGACTTACAGCCAGACGAATACACCCTTTTTGTGAAACATCAATGATTGTATAATAGTACAGTCTTAAGAAGTACAATTCCATCAAACATGGTGTTCCCCTGAAATAACATACCAAATCAAAATAACCTTCTGCCAGTCACATACCATCCATTTCCACCAGCAGTTGATTGAGGGTGTTCTCCCGTTCGTCATGCCCACCAATATGACCTCCACGGCCGCGTGCACGGCCCACAGCATCAATCTCATCAATAAATATAATGCAGGGTGCATTCTTTCTTGCTTGGGCAAACAGATCTCTGACTCTGGCTGGCCCAACTCCTACGAACATTTCCAAAAACTCTGATCCTGAAATACTTAGAAAAGGTACTCTGGCCTCCCCAGCCACTGCCTTGGCTAACAGAGTTTTGCCTGTACCTGGTGGCCCTGATAATATAGCACCCTAGAAGACAGGAAAACAGATAAGAAATATCAGTTTACATGTAGCTGCATGCAACAGACAATTGTGGGATATACATGTAGTATGGCCTGGACTCCTGATCAAGAGGTCTGGGTTCAAGCCTTGTCATTGGATTGTGTTCTTGTACAAAGAACTTAACTCTTACCAGGCCTCTCTCAACCCAAATCTATGGAAGGAAACTTAAGATGGTGTGTTATACACGAGCCCTGTGCAGTGTCATTGACTTGGCTACACACAAGTTCGTATGTAGCTAAAAGGCTGGAAATGTATTTATTCAGATGACTTCTAACCCTTTACCTCCTAAGATCTGATTCTTAATTCTCCCCTCGAGCTGTTACATATTTTCTTGCAAATTAGCTGTGAGAATTTGGTGTTAGAACAAAAATAACAACCTCTAACCGTTAAGTTTGAGTATTCGCATAACTTGTTTGTTTTATGTGTGGATATTATAAGGAGAAGTTACACGTTAATCACCTCCTTTATCCAAATCCTTCAATGAAATATATAAAGCCAATGCACACATACATATAAATCACAGTTACAGTGAACAAAAGAAAGTCCCCATTGCAAATTGACTTTCATCGGGCTCATCTACAGCTGTATGTGTACTGTAGCAACCAGTAGTACAACTAGAAACAGTAACTGTTGGAATAATAACTTTATAATTCAAGTACCTTGGGTATCCTGGCCCCCAACTCATGATACTGTTGAGGATTTTTAAGGAAATTCACAAATTCCATTATTTCCAGTTTAGCTTCCTCACATCCAGCAACATCCCTACAAACAGCACAACATAATGTTTCATGCATTAGACAAAAACTAAAGTCACAATTCTTCTCCTTGCCCATAAATGCCCAAAGAATACATTTTAGACAGACACCAAATTAATGCATCCTCTTACAGCTGCTGCACCAGAGAGCGGCAGAGCTTCTCTTTAATTGTTCACCAAACAATCAGCTACATATAGGTCGATTGACAGATCAAAAGTCCTTTAATCAACTGGCATCTTCCCTGCTTCAGCCCTTTTAAAGTCAATACCATTGGCCTGCATCAGCTCCAATTTATTGTTAAGCTAAGCTACAAATGTACTGTAAGTGTGCTTGCCCCCTTCAAAGAAGAAGAAACCTAAAATGATGCATGCTTGATAAAATGGTGCATGCTTGATGCATGCTCAAGATATACAGATAGTTTGAGTTAAAAAAAAGTTAAATGATGCATGCTTGATAACTCAGATGGTTTACACTCAAAGTACATACTTGAATCTGACTTTGACACTTGTTTCTTTATTGTAGAATTTGGCTGTTGACTGCCCAACACCAAATATACCCTGTGTTTCACAAAAAGGTGCAAAGGTACAAATAAAATCACTGGCAGATTCATATTACCATGGTATACTGCAAAATCATTACATCTAAATGGCTCAAGGTAACATAAACAAAAACCAGCTCACCCCTTGTCCTCTGCTGCCACTGGAAAGTTTCCTACTGAAGTAAATTATGACACCGATAATCAGCAGTGATGGAGCTGCCTTGATGATCTCCTTCCTGTGAAGGAAAACAAAATTAAGCTACATCATTCAAGGAGTTTTCACTCCCTTTTCGATGGCCAAGAGACAACCACCAGACATGCAAACAGCTACAAACAACAACCAACACATGCATAACACCATCTCATTGAGTTTCTCCCAGTAATATTCTGCTCATGCCCAGTTGGGTTCTGACTCTTTTGTGGAAATTGGCATATCAATTCCCTTAGTCATAGAGTAATTCCCATACAAACAAGCAAACTTAGCAATCAACTGATTAAACAATTCCTTACTCTGAATTTTGTTGAATGTAAATGAAGTTGTTGCATTTATAGCAATGGCTAACTTTGTTGGAATAATCCCAGTAACAAATGCGAAGTCTGTACTGGAGCCTACCTGTAGTGGTCCAACCAACCAGCTTATCATGGTTTCCTTGGCATGAAGGGACTGGGAGTATTACAACTCCCCCCTGGATAGGATTCTAGTCCATCCCAAGGTTAACCCTCAGCATTTCATCAGGCTTCCCTGACAAGTAGCCTGTACCCATCTATACTACTGGTTGGAGCAAGAGAGGCACTGTGAGAGCATAGCATTTTGCCTAAGAGCACAATACATTAACCTGGCCTGGTTAGGAAACACAAGTATATATATCATTGTAATATTTAGAGGTTTTCCATCATCCTGGGACAGTTTACAACTGTCCAGCAAACAGCATTTTAAGTTTCAGTCTAAACTTACAGCCACTCTGACTCCTTCACATATGTCACTGGGATCCAAAATGCAGGATCAATGTTCATCTCTTGTTGAACAGCCTCCAAACTGCGCTCAAAGCTTTCAACACTTCCAATCGTGAAACAAAGCTGACTCTGGTGATAGGATCAATAATTATTAATAAGCTGAGTTATGATAGCGGCAGCATGTGCATTTCACAGTGAATCTGAACTGGAAGAAGTCATAGTTTGGTCAACTCTTGAGATATGATGATACTGTAAAACACACCAAAAAAAGAGTTGAAAATTTTGCTAAAAGTAGTTTTTCCTCTCTTTGATACATAAACCTGTGAACTGGCAAAGGTTTCAGTTAGGTTGACTACTACACCAAATTTTGAAATGTTATAAAGTAACATATACAAAATATGTACACTCCCTCACAATCTACCAAGAACCCCACTTCCATCAGACCTGGCATTAGAGTGAAAGCCATGGTGTTTGTACTGTATTTGAGATCACAAAACTCTACAGCCACCACAGAATTCCAATGATAATTTTCCATGTCTTGAGAATTTTTTAATTTTCATTCAGATGGGAATATTCTCCAATTAAATGGCACTTCCCTTCTGCTGCTAAATTTCTTCATGAAAACCCTGTAAAACTACACATAATACAAACTATACCTTGTTGGGGTCATTCTTCAGAAAAACTTTCACAAGACTTTGGTTTGACACAACAAGTTTTTCCACCTACGGGGAGAAAACAAAAATAAACATGGAGTGTTATTCAACAACACTGTGTATTAATTACAAGTAATTTGTAAATTTGAAACACTTGTACTCTTTGTGCCCATGTATAATTGCTACAGTCTACAAGATACTTTTGATTATGCCTCCTTGAACACCAACTGCTAGTAAAATGATGGGGTTCATAGTTTTTAGAAGTTTAATTCTTTTTTTCTTTTCAAATCGATATAGTTCCCCTTTCCCTTTGTTGCAGGTTATGGTAGTTGAATACTAGACCAAGGAAAAGAGAAATCAAAACTGGTTTGAAAACTTTAAAAGCTGGAAACAATTCAACCATGACATGAACGTGTATACAAAGTTTATCATGTCTGTGCATAAACAACTCCAAAGCAGTTCAGTTTTATCGTCTGAGTTGACAACATAAATTGGCCATCAAAAGGATTTTCTAAGGCCCTTCCTCAGGACTCCAGCAGTGGAATAGGGCTTGAAATGTCAGCCGTAGAAAATGAAAAATGTATTCTAGAGGTAATTTTTCAAAGGTGAACAGACATGAAATCTTACCTCTCCCCTTTCAAGATATTTTGTTCTGAACTCTTGCCAGTTTATTTCTCTAGTGTCCCTTTCAGACATCAGAAATAACAAAGCTAAGACTGCAGCTACTGCACCACCAATCAAAGCCTGTGGATTATTTTCGAAGAGGGTCTTCCACCAGTCATCGCCAGGTGGTTTGCCACTGCTCCCTCCCCCTCCTCCACCACCATCATCACCCCCTGATGCTTCCCTCTTGTTCACATCCGAGTTCTCTTTCTTACTAGAGTCTGTTGCAATCAAAGATAAATGTACAGTGTATAGCAAAGTAGCAGGTATTTGAAAATGGCATTACGCATTCTACATTTCACTTACATTTATATTTTCTTTTAAGTCTGCATGTCTGTACCCAAAACTGCATTAACCATCCACAACAAACTGCATTGCCGTTAAAGTGAACATCAATGTGAACAGCCGAGCAGATGTGCACACTGAAGCTTCACTTTAAAGTTTGACTTAATCTTTATATTAACTCAAGTTATATTGATTTTTAATATAGAGAATAATACACAAAATACATGAAGAGTTTCACTTTGAGTGTTGAACTCAACATCTCGTAAGTGAGTGCAGCAAACTGGTAGGATATGAAGTTGAACACGCGTCTAGTTAGAGCTCTTCTCAGGGTTGGAAATCTTTGTAAAACACTGCAGTTTACATGTTAAACTACATTATAAGAAAGTATTGAGAGTAATTTAAAATTCCAAGTCAGAGATTGCCACAAATTAGATACTTCTAGAGCAATTAAGGCTTCCAAATGCAGAAAAATGATCTGATCTTACCTTTATTTGATGTCTTCTTTGATGCATTTGGATAAAATTTTTCAAATCCTTCAAAGAACGGAGAGTAACACAAACAAGATAACTTTATGTTTTATGATTGAGGACCAAAGCATCACACGGACTATTGAAGCTAAATGAAGAAAACTGCTCAACATTGGCATATACATGTTTACAGAAGTAAAGTTGAAATACTGTGATCTAACGATAAAACAGACGGTTATGTAATTCATGTAGATGAATGTAGTCAAGAAGCAAATTCTTGTCAAGTTGAAGTTATTATCGGAACGAGTAAACAATTTAGTGATCTAATTTGCTTTTAGACTTCTCAAATTTTTACTTGAGGACTTATCTACCAAACTGATTTCTGGTTCCTACTAAATTCGCGAGAGATCTCGAGGCACTCACAATTTCATCTCAAACACGTACATTGTGCGTAATAATTTAAAGTCATCACGTCTCACGCCGAAAAAGTTTAAAGCAAATCAGGATTACACAAATTTAAAGCCACCCCTACAACATATCAAATTTACCCTTTGGTGGATCAAAATTCAGAATTCTTCCAAGTAACCAAGAGTTCCTTGCATTGTGACTCAGCAACAATTGCTTTGCTCCAAACGAGTACCGCGCAAACTACAATAAGTAAAAAAAAAAGAAGCAATCGTTCATAAAAAGTAATCAAGGAGAACTATTTGGCGGCACTAGTACAATTAATGTGCTGAAAAATCGATATGTATTTTTCCTTGAGGCCTAACTCAAGGGGAAGAGCTAACATAAATGAAACAAAAACATAGAGTTAACTGTTTACATCCGTACCTGAGGATGTGAGAGTCTCAGAGTTGCCCGATTTAACAAGGAGCTCACTCCTCGCGAACATAACCTGTACGTCATTACTTCAAAAAGCCTAGTATTTGAAACTTTTGGAACTAAATGTTATAAACATACTAGAATAAAACCCAACGTGTTCCGTACATCACTGGGAACGATTTGCCGACATTTTGTCTTATGCAACTCACGATTCAAGATGGCGGATATAAAAACAGGAGGCGCGGTGGCAACTCCGCAATGTCCATTTTACCTTGGGGAGGGGGGGGATAGAGTGTACTTCTGTTTCTAAGAAGGGTGTTCTGTATCAGTGGTGTGGAATCTGTTACGTGTTTCTCAAGGTTCACAGTAGGTTCATATAAAGAACAAAATCAGCAAACTAAAAACAATGAACCTTACAACCCTATAAATTTCTCATCAAAATTATTCGCTATCTGTTATTGGAACCTGCGCTATTTCAGAACTCTGACTGCTTTGCTGCGTCATATCCACAGACAGGAGCCCATTACCCGGAGCCTCCATACCAATTGTACCCTTGAGTCAACCCTGTCCCGTATCTTTTTATTCTTAGAACTGAGATACGTGGGGGTTCTTTAATTTCCCGGGAAAACACGCTGACGTTCGCACAACATCCTAAAAAAAAGGTAATTTTTCCGCGCTTTTCGCCATTATTGAAATACTTTCGTGCGGCCTACATGTCACATAAACAATAGAGGACCACGGCTTCCTTATGATTGGCTATTATGTAAACACCCGCGAAAAACCCCGTGGGAGGTGCTTCTTAAAATAAAAAGATACGGGACAAGGTTGACTCAGATGACTCAGAGGGTAAGTATAGAAGATGTCCACAGACAAAAAACTTAATATCGTGTTAAGCGATACACTAACCAATCTCAATATATGTGTACTGTATCCAAGTTCATTAATTATTTTGTCTTTTGTTCATTGGTTTTGTTTTCATAATTATTTTCTGGAATACCTCGGACAGTTTAGGGAATCCCCATGATCACTTTTTTTTGGTCTTGCTTCGCTCGTTTTGCAAGATTATTGTAACAAATGAATAAATACTTCGAAAAATACCTGCAAAGACAAATTCTGCAATAAAGGATACATCAAAGCTAAATTTTTGATTACCAGACAATTCTTTTTTGAGACGTTACAATTCTTTGCGGAAACAATACTTCTGCTGGGTCAAAAATAGATTGTACGTGTTCTTTATCAGATACCAAGATAACAAATGTGGTTGGACTAATGGAACAAGGCGCACGAGAGAGAGAGAGTGATTTAGGCTAACTTGCACGCGCGGGAAGTCAAACACTTGCGCGCGTTATATTTGAGCATGGCGCAACGGCATGGCGCCTGTTCATTCTCGTTTTCAGAGCCACTCCTTTTCATATGTAAGCAAAAACAATGATGACTCTGGGAACGAGAATGGGCGCCTGTTATGCAGACCAGCAATACGACAACAATATGAGCAGAACGCTGGAGAAGCCTTGGGTCAGAGAAAGCTGTGGCCTTTGGACCGGGAACATGTATACGAAGTATGCAAGAAATTTCGACGTTGCTGAGATTTATTTCACTATCAAAATAAACAGGGAAAAAAGTCATCGTGTGGAAAACGCACTATCAGAAGTTGCTATAGCCTGAGTGTCCACAAGGTCTGAGCCAGTCCACAGACGACAAAGGACATCTCCAAGCCACAAAAAAATAGTCCCGTACGCGTAAACAAGAATATTTCTAAGGTAACTTTTAGCATATGTCTTGTTAATTAATGTCAAAACGACTGTTTGTTGAAGCAATACTGCCAATCAGTTGTGCCACAGTTGTCGCGAAATTCTGAAAGGTATTGTTATTAATAGTGACCTGTAAATTTTTCCTTGATTATTATCTTGCGGTGTATACTTAGCTTAAGAGAAATTGTGCTCATGAACATAGGAGGGCAGCAAAGTTACGGGCGGCCAGACTTTTGTATTCGTGCTGGCAACGTTTTCAGCCGTTTTCACCCTGATAAAGGGCTTCGAAAATTGTTCTGAAATCTGTTTATGGAAAAGAATTTACATATGGTTACCTTATGCTCAACTTGTCCTTGTTCTGGCTGTGTGTCTTATGGGTCAGTTTAAACTATCTAGGTAAGTAAAGGTGTTGTGCTTAGTTTTCTCAAAAGCGCCAAACATGGTTCCTTTCTGGTTCTAGAAAAACTCCTGCGGAATGTTAAACTCGCTTCAGTGGTCTCAGACTGATGTAAGGAACACACAGAAAGCAAAACGACGAAACATAAAACATAAGAGAACCATTTTAATTTCTTTTCTTTTTTTTTTTTTCTTCTTTTTTTTACCGGACGTTGTATCCAAAGCAGTTTCTGAAGCATTCACTCACATAGACAGATGAAAACGCAGCTCATTTTTGTGACTTATCAAAAATTTGATATAAGATACTGAAGGTCAGGTCATAGTCATATTCTTTTTCAAAACAAGAAACCAGGCGCCTCTGTCTGACTTTTTTCCCCCAAAATCCCTGCGTTTGTATTGCTTCGTCTGCGATGTTTCCGAAACGAAAGAGATACTGCCTTCGTCCATATTACTCGGTCTTTAGTTTTAACCAAACAAGTCGCAAACTGCTCTGTTTGTTACGGTTTCCCTGTGTTCAAGTCACATACAGCTGTCTGTATTGAGCGGAACATAGGACAATCATAAGCTATTGCCTATTTCCAACACGACTGATATCTCAGTTCGCAATATACAAATCGAAGGGAAAGCTTTGTCTTATCTAAAAACCTGTGATACATCCGATGCATATCACCGGATTCAGAAAAATATTATCGAAATCGCCAATAAATAATAAAATTCAGGAAAATCTCCGTGAATTCGCAAAAAAAATTTGTCACGTGATGCTTTCTTAACGGTCAGATTAAAATTTAGATGATGGACTTCTGACCACGGACTGCGGAATGGGGTAAAACCATGGGATTGCAGAATATTGGTCTGGGGTTTAAAATTCGTACCGTAGATTACCAGCATGAATGGATGAGTAAATGAATGAATAAATGCCCTAATTAAGAGTCAGCTCTAAAATAAAAGTGAAAGCGATCGCACTAATAAGAGCAGTGACGTGGGGCTAACGTTAAAAACGTCAGCTTTGGCAACTCGCTACGGAGGCCAGATTAAGATAGTCTCACCAGAGTTTTTTTTCGAGCTCCAATATTTCGGTCCGGACTTGAGGCTCGCTCGAACAAAAAAGCTATACCAATCCGGTCAGTACAAAATGCAGACTGCAGACCGGGTACAAAATGCAGACTAGGTACAAAATGCAGACTGCAGATTGGGTGCAAAATGCAGACTGAGAATTTATACTGTTTTTTCGTCTGATACGTGATATCATGTCATCTTGCAACTTTCCGAGCGTCACGCAATCGCTTTTCCGCGATTATCTTTCACAATTATTTGCATTATTGTGGAATATTCCTAGCCCGTTTCTTGATCACAATCGTTCTTAATATAATTTCAAGCCTTCATATAGTTTTCTTTCTTTGTGCGCGAGTTGGTTGGTGTGATGTCGGTTCAGAATTTACCAACTTAATAAAAGTAGATGTAGATGTAAATGAGATGTTACTACTGAATATTTAACACACGCACTATTCGAGAAACAAGTGACAGCTTTGCACGTGGTCAGTACGTTTCATCGTTTTAACCGATATGTGTTCATTTTGTTCACAAAAATGCGGACCGAGGCCAAAACTGTTCCTTCGACTTGATATGTTTTCAACGTTCAGGGGTGTACACGCACTAATTTTTCCATATGGGCCTTATATTGTTATTGGCTTAGTAGATGAGGAACCAGCGAATTTTTATAGGGAAAAGCAAAGAGTTGCTTTCGTGACTGGCCATTTGTTTACTTTTCTGGTGATCTTATCTCTAATCTGTTTGGTGACTACGTAAATATTAATATGTGGAAATCAGACCATAGGAAGGCGTGAGATTCTGTTAAGAACGATTGTGGCCGCTTTAATTTGTTAAAAATCAAATACAATGGCCGCTTTGTTAAAAACAAAAGATATCAAGAAACGGGAAAGGAATATTTCACAATAGTGCAAATGATCGTGAAAGATGAGGGCTACGTAATATTTTACGGCTATTCCAATATTTGATTTCTGATTATGCCCACCCAGCCCACCCTCCGCCCCACAATTCTAATTCTCATCAAGACGAACGTACAAGTTTTCTTATCACACAACTGCCCAAAATTAAGAGAGAATTTATTCCATAAGTCTCGAAAGTTCACATAAACCGAATTCAACTGAACCTTTATTCAACAAGTCCAAGAAATCGATACAAACTTAAGCCATAACATGAGTGAGCTGGCTCCAAGAGGCCTTTGATTGAAAACTCGAGTTATTATCTCTTTTGTACGTCAGCCTCGAGGGTTATTAAAATATTTGTTTGTATCTACGATCATTCACGTGAATCCACAAACAAGTTTATAACAGAATACTGTAACGCATCATTGGATTGAATTGGCATGTTTGTCTCCGCACGCTTGACCATCCGGGACTCCAGTTTTAAGCCGGAGGGCATACGGCATTTTTCGACTGGATACGTACAAGAGAATATCAGTTGATATTCCTTTCATTCATATTCATCCAGTCACCTTCCTCGATCCTTCTCATTTTTATTTTTAAAAAGAATTGTGTCAAGATACTTTTTCTTGCCGCTAAGATATGACACAAGTCTCCTTCCAGCGGCAAAAACCTTCCGCGTAAATGACAGTGTAAGGTCATGTACCTGTTATCCTCCTGTAAGTCAAATATTTGTTGTGATGAATAACGTTGAAGTTCAGTTGAAGCCTGAGTGAATTCACTCTTCGACGGGATTCGAACCCTTACCCCCCAGACTAAATAAGCGATACTACCAACGTACTGTGCAGCGAAGTCACATGTTAGCAACGTGGCTAGTTTTAAAAGGCTCCTCCGGGCAACGAGGACAGGCTGCGCACAATCCAGACTTAATTTTTGATCTGCACACGTGGTTCAAGTAGCATTTTATATTACTGGTAATGTTGATGTTCGAGTAAGGCCTTTTGCCATTGTTAGAGGAAGCCTGAAGGCTCAAATCCCGTAGGAGCCTGAATTTTTTCAGGTTTTTATTTAATAGTGGCTTTAGGTCCCATTTGATCTTAAACATTATCATCGAAAAAACTTTGGACAAGAGAAAGATTTGATAGAAAGGATTGCGATGAGAGACTGCAGTTTGGAGATGAGATTTGCACTTCTGTTATATTCGAATCAAATAAGAAAGGTCGAAATATGTAAGTTATTATAAGTGCAGACTAATGTTGGCAAAGCCGTCAATTTCAAGTCTCGTCTGTTCTGTCTTTTTTTCGCAACTGAGAGGACAGTAAGAAGAAGTCCTGAACTCTAACTCTGAACCTAGCTGAAAATTGAGTTTTGTTCGATTGTTTTTGAAATATTTTTTAGCTTCAGAAGATCACCAAAATCTGTTTTGAACATGGTGTTCGAGGGAGTAATGCATAATGTCGCTGCATCTGCACTATCAAACAGTTCGGTGTTTGAAAGAGGGGGTCATTTGGCTCACCCTTTCCGTTGACAATTCACAAATTTCCTGCGGTTTAAACTCCTTTCTATGAGCCAAAAGTTATTTTAAAAAAAGCACAATATGTCTTCTCTTCCTTTCTTTTCATTGCTTTATCCTAACGCACCATTTAACATGTACTTTTAATCACAACAGCGTTGACACAGAGTTAATACTAGTCGGTCAATAAGTTTTTTATTTAATTTTTCTGTTCACAGCAAGAAATTCTTCGTTATATTAAAAGATTGTTAGGACGTTCACTTCGAGCCCTAGTCTCCAACTGAGCCTAAATTTAATTAGCTTCTTAAGTGAAATTAAACCCTTTTATTATCCTTTTAATTAAGTCTTTTGTGCACAAAAAGGACTTCTTTAGTCCCAGCCAGCACGTGGATTGCGCGGTTCGCCGATAAAACGCGCGTCTGTATGGCTTACTACATGTGATGATGACCTCAATGAAACGTTCATTTGAGACTACCCGATACAACGAAAGTAGGCTTATAATACAGAATCATTAGCCTGTGAATGAAAAACAGTAAAAGCTTAATGATGCAGCGCAAAATCAATTTACTCTAAGGGTAGACAAAATGAACCTGAAGCTCTTGGAGGAAAACGTTAAACTTCTTGTATCGATCTCGTTGGTTTCGCATTAGATAAGAACTGATCTGTTCAGCAGCCCCTTGACATCTTGATATTCTGGAGTTCATGTTCGCAGGTTTCGCTTTCCTAAAACGTTGTGTCAGTTAGCTCAGAAGCAGTTTTTAGGTTACTTTGTTTGAGATTTGACTCACATGTACTTCAGCAGTCGTTTAAAAAACACATATTAGTCTTTGATGTAAACACCAGAACCAACAATGAAATGAATACAATTTTGATGGAATTACCATGGAATCTGATCTCTGCATGTATTCTTTTAATTTTGTGTGTCGTGATGTTGGCTTACAGCACGTGAGGACATGAACTATTGGCATTCATGACAGCCACCGACATACAAATATGCAACAAGTGTTTTGCTAAGCGTTGAGTAACCATAAGATACTACTCCCAGCCACGATTAAACCTCATACGCTGCTGGCAAATAAGATGTAATTCTGTGGCCGATAAGCGCTTAAAATGTCGAAGAAATCCAGAGTGGGAAGAAAACATTTTGCAATGTAAATATCCGCCACTGTTCAGTTCCACGTAGGAGGTCTGTAGTCATGTAAATCTTACACTATGACAGCTGCTCAAAGTTATTGGAGTATACCGGTTTACAGTTTCACTTGATGTTGTGTCTAAAGCAACGACCATGACAATGTTAAAATGACCTAACAGCCAAAGAATCGCAACAATATCAATAGCTGTGAATATTAAAAAGCATCAAGGCGCGTATTTATAAGTGATAATGTATAAAACAGCAATGATCCTTCTTGCTACTGACGTACGTACTTATTGCTGTTACGTGCTAATGTCACGGTGATCCTTAGCAAGCTCTAATCTTCAACAAACCGTAGGCTCAAAAACAGTTACAGGTGAGCTACATTATCGCATCAGTTAACTTCACGACCATGGTCCAGCAGTTTACCAAGAAAATTATATTCTCTTGAGCTCACCTAGATCTGTAGCTCAGTGATCTTTTGCTGCCCTCTCTATAAGACCTTCATCAGCCTTTTCCTCAAAAAAAAATTACGATGGATTCAGAAGATCTTTAATTTTGCGTGATCCGATGGTGGTTATTGAAATATCTGTTATTTCGGTCGAGAAATTATTTAAAAACAGGCTTCTTCAAGTAAACAGCGCACAACGCAACTACTTGGGCGAAACTTGAAAGGTCGCGCTTTGTTCATCGCAGCTAGCTGGGCAACCAAAGTGAAGTATCCCAAATGGATGTTATATCAGGCATGCATCTCAGCTCGGTTACTTGAGTGAAATTTTCCATAAGAAATTAAGACATACTTCTGCCTGTTACTTAGAGTAGTTCGATGGCCTTATATGCTCTTTATTCTATTGAAACCGTTTTACTTGACTAAATTCAATGCATTACTATTAACCTTCAGATAACCAAAGGAAAGAAAGGACTTTAATTAAGCATGGCTAATAACACCGTGAGCTACAATTGCACTGGTCCTATCTCGTCTCCTCTTTACGGAACAAAGAGCGATCCAGCGGAGTCACTACCAGTCGAAGTAGTAAAACTAACTCTCTATGCAACATGTGCTTCGTTTGGTGTTATTGGCAACATTCTGGTCACCATTATTTTGAATAGGATTAAGGTGAAAGAAACACGTGTAATGGATTTCTATATGATCAACTTGGCCATTGCAGATTTAGGAACTTTGCTGTTGGCGTTACCATTTACCGCAACGCGTGAAAGACTTCCTAATGACTGGCCATTTGGAAAGATCGTTTGCCTGTATTTTCTTCCAGTTGTCGAAATATTTCATGGATCATCTGTGTGGTTCATAACAGCGGCTGGCATAGAACGTTATCAGAAAATCGGTAGGCCATCAAAAGTAAACACCAGACTTCGAGCTTCACTGAAGAAAGCAAAGATGGTTGCTGCGTGTATTTGGATGGCTTCATTTTTCTTGTTTTCATTCCCATTGTATTTCGTTGTTCGCTATAGAGAGAAATCAAACGACGGAACCATTTGGTGCGGTGCAGAATGGCCTTTGTGGGGTAAAGGCTTTGTGTTACCTCAGGTCTACAACATGTTAATTGTTCTGCTTTCTTACATAATTCCACTTATTGTAATACTAGGAACGTTCCTTGCAGTGTCACGAACGTTAGATGAAAGTAACAAATTCATCAAGGTCATGAAACAAGGAAAAGAGAATATTACATTGGTTATGAATCTTTGTGATAAAGACGACTGCTCACCCAGGCATAGTCTCCGCGTCGCCCAAAACAAACGCGCCAAAGCGATTTTAACACCAGTTGTTGTAGTTTTTTCAGTTTTCATGCTGCCTCTGGCAATGTTTCGACTTTGCATTGTATTTTGGCCGCCTATTATTGAGCAAACATTTTATGAAAACTTACTGTTTGTGGTCTCAGTGGGCGTCATTATCAACTCGTCCGCAAATCCATTGATTTATTCGGTTGTTAAGAAGGACTTTCGGCGCGAATTGAAACGGATTTTTCGGTACAGTAGGACTTGAGCAGTTTTCATCAGTCAGAGAACCATTGGTATCAAACTATTCCTTACTGAGATGGACGTTAAAAAAGCATTTGTAATAAACATTCATATTTTTGGTAGCCACCTCCAGAACTGTGATTGTTTTTCTCTCGCGTACATTTTTGGCATGTCAATGGGTGGGGGTGGGGGAGGTGAAACGCAGTAAATGCTATTATTACACTGGCCTCTGTGGACATGCACAGCTGTTTTATCCCCCTCCCCTCCAAAATATTTTCATGCATTATAATGCAACGAAATAAAATGTGTTTTATTCTAGATGTTTTAAAAATGATCTTTTACTCTTCGATGTCCCCATTAAGTTGTTTCTTTGTGCCAATCTATATTTGACACTCTTCCGAGATTTTTTTCATTTTGACTATTATTAACAAGCAAATATAATACTTAGGTGGCAGTGTCCTTTTTCTAAACTTTCTTCAATCGCTATTCTGTTTATTTGTAAGGATCCGTCATTTCGTCATTTCTCATCAACTGCAGGTCAAAATGTGTTTTGCTTTGTTTAATTGTGATCAAATTCCTTAACTGGAACGAAAAACCTACTAGAAGTTTCCTCATTGTCGAGTAAGTAAAAACGCCCAACTAGTGTCAGGGAGACAAAGGTTTGAATCACGTCCAAGCCTGGATTTTTTCATTTTTTTATATTTTTTCAGCAATCTCTTCATTTCATCATTTCCTTTTTGTTCATTTCTTAATTGGTGTTCATGGCCTTCACTATGTAGATAAACCTATTGAGATGAAAAAGCCCATAATCGTTGATCACGTGACGTCAAAATGTGTTTAGAAAAAAAAGTAGCACACAAGGTGCAGCAAAAATTAATTCGCTCTCAATGCGGCGTTTGTGCAAATTACAGGAAAAGTATGATTTGGGTCAAGTCTCGTCAAAGAGCTGAAGCGCAAATCTCAACACCGGCTCACTGTAGCTTTCCTTAGTTTGGTACTGCTGTTTTAACCAATCACATCCCGCTTTGTATCGAAACGTTAGAATTACCCAAAGATATGATAAAATAGAACCTCATAAATAATCAACATTTTTCCATTTTGTGAAACTAGACCTCAGAATGCATGACCAAACTAATTTCTGACCCGTAAAAACAAAAAGACTTCCAGCGCTTGCATCTACTCGGTTCTCATGCAGCTCATGTCAGTCCTGTGGTGCTCGATAATCTTTTGTCTTTTTGTTCTTTCTTTATGGTTTTCAGTGCGCCCGCCATGAATAATGTATGTGATCCAGTCCCCTCTCGTGCATATCGTATCTCTCATCTCCTCCTCATTTTGAGTCCGTTTTAACCCAGAGATTAAAATCCTTTGATTTCAACTTTATAGTGTATTGCTAATTTAAAAAAAAAACAAAACATTGACATAAATCAAATCTACGTGGGAACAGAGAACACAAACCCGCGAACATGAGCAGAAATAAATGAGATTTGAAATAAGATTGAAATGGAAGACCGAACAGTATTCAGAATATTAAAGTGGTCCATGATGTAGTTCTTACTTCGAAAGGAAAAATACACTTCTTCACTTTCAAATGACGCATGTGGCAAAATCATTCATTCTATATACTCAGAATTGTTAGTGTTGGAAAACGTCATCTGTAATCGATGTCTTTTCCTTTATTCTCCTCTATTTAAGACTCTTTCAAATCAAAATCCTGTTGTAATACAATTGCATTTGTAAATGTGTCGTTTTTCATAGCCGTTCATCGCAAGACGGAAGACCGACGACAGGCATCAATTTTGATCTCACCATGTTTAGTTTACTCCAATGATCAAAATTTGCATTTTTTTCCCCGAAGCTTTCAACAATTAACCTTTTACACGGTGGTGTATTAACCCAATGGGAGATCTCTGACCTAACATCGAGCTTTGTGTGTTAGCAGCGCAGTGGAGACACCTGACTAATGCTCCGTAAAACGAACGAAAAAACGAAGTTTCCAATTATGAATCCTTTTAAAGAAAAAGAAAAAAATCAGGCCTAAAAGACACCTGAATCAAGTCACGCATCTTGTTAACAGTAAATAGATATATTTACTCCATTTCTGACTTTTGTCATTTTTCCAATTTGTGAAGTTAGGTCTTACTAAAGAGTTTTGCTCAGGTGGCGCTATACAATCGTTGATTTATTAAAGCTACACGTAAATGGCTTGAGGGCTTTTAGCCATGCCCTCGGGGTTACACTGTCGGAGGGAGAGAGTTACGATTCCGTGCTGAGCTAACAATATCAATCTTCTCCGGCTTTGTGAAGTCATTTGTCACGAAACTATATGCTGAATGCACAACTTTTTCATTCGGATAAACACCTTTATTTCAGATTAAATCCTAGTAGTTTATAAATATAACAGAGTTATGCTGAATTCTCGTTTGTGACATATGATGAATGCTTTAATAAAAACTGTACCCTATAACGTTAGCTATTTTATAAAATACACTCCATAAACAACGTCAATCGAAAACGTGCTTAAGAAAAGAATAAACAAATTAATCCTTAAAGCAGCTGAATGTACCTCTTCGAGTTAAACGCGATTCCATTTTATCTCTGATTTAAGAACGAGAAATCTGATTGAGACCCGATTTGACAGAAACAATAGCTCGATTATGCTTCTGGCCCCGCGATGATCTTCTCTTCCAGCAAAGTAATCGGACCATTTGGCGCCGGAAGTCTTTCCTAACCACCGAGTATATGGCCGGGTTTACAGACGAGTTGATTATAACACCAACTGAAACCACAAACAGCAAGTCGCTGTAAAATGTTTGTGTGAAAATAGGGGGCCAAAATACAACGTATAGGCGAAGAATTGTCAGCGGAAGCATGAACACAGCAAACACTCCAACAACTGGTGTTAAAATCATTTTAGCGCGTCTGTTTTGAGCGAGCCGATTGGCATGCCTTCTTGTTGGGCTAAACTTTCTACTGTGTAAGTTAAGTAATTCACTGTCTTTCTCATGTTGCGAATTGATAACGTGGATAAACTTGCTGCTTTTATTTAGTTTGTGCGACACTGCGAGGAATGTTCCCGATATTACAAACAGTGGTATTACATAAGATACAAAGATCATGAAAGTAAAGTAAAGTTTGGATAGAGCGAGGCCTGCGCCTAATGAAGGCCACTCTGAACCACACCAAAATCTTCCATTGGTAGAAACCTCTCTGTAGCGAAGAACAAAATATAGCGGTAATGAAAAGACCACGAATGACGCCACCCATGTGCTCACTGCAACGATCTGTGCTCTTTTCAATGCTATTGGCAGTTTGACGTTTACTTTGGAAGGCCTGGCAATTTTCTGATATCTTTCTATGGCAGCTGCTGTAATGAACCAAACGGACGAGCCATGAAATATGTCGGTAAGTGGAAGGAAATACAAGCAGACAAACTCTCCAAATGGCCAATCATTCGGAAGTCTCTCTCGTATCGCGGTAATTGGAAATGCCAAGAGCAAAGTTCCTAAATCCGCTATGGCTAAGTTAATCATGTAGAAATCCATTACTCTAGTTTCCTTCGCCTTGATCTTCGTCAAAATAATTGTCGTTAGGATGTTACCGACAACACCAAAGACACCACAAGTCGCATAAAGCGTGCTCTTAACTATTTCCATACCCTGCGACTCTATTGCCTCGCCACTGCTTGTGCTTTCAATGTTAGTCGTCGAGAAGTTTTCAGTGGACAAAGTTGAAAAGTTGCTGAAACTTGTCATAGTACGTAAGTTGCTCTTCTTAGTAAATTATCGCCTAAATCAGGTTTTCTGTGTGAAGTCAGGCTCGCGACGAACGATCTGTTTCGAGGCAAATTTCGGTCCTTTACAAGAACTGCAGTTCGGAAATCGATCGCCGTTTCGCAAATAATTAGAGTTTGGTAGTTAAACTCTTTGAAGCTTTATCAGGATTGAACAAATACACGTGAGGACATATCTTGCAGCCTTGTTGGATCCGGTGAAACTGCAGCATTTCTGTGTAGCCCGTGGTTTCTTAAGGATCTTTTAAAATATGCAAGGACAACTCTATTGTTTACGATGATATTCAAACAGCAGTGGGTAATGTCACACGCGTTGTGATTGGTTTTAAACAAAAAGTTACAACAATAAAGTTTCTTTGTTTTAATTGTTACAAAAATGTGCTAAAAGTTCAATTAGAAAAAACTTTAAAGCCATGAAACACGAGGAAACTTTAATTCAACCTCAGATGGCATGTTGTTTTTAAACAAAGTTGACTGAATTGAAATTTAGAATAAAACGAAAATAAGAATTGTTGATCTTTCATAGTATGACATATGGAAATGCAATAACATACACAGCTTGTCATCGAAAAAAGTAGAGGAATAGGAGTGCAACGTTTGTTTTTTATCATCATAATTACTTTATCTGCATTTTAACGACTTAGAGTCACTGGAGTTTTCACTGCCACGTTTTGCTAAATAATTTTTCCTTAGAAGTGTCGCGCGAAAAAACCACGATATAGAGAGACTGTATGGGGTTTTAGGAAGAAATTCTAGAACATCAAGTTTTCTCTGAGGTTTTTGGCATGTATTCGTGCTATTGATATATATAACCTGCTGAACAAGAGTCAATATTACTATTATATAAACTTTAGTAAACTATACCATATATTAAAGTGAGGCCACCTGAATGAAACCTAAATTTTGAGCGAAGCCACCTGTTCGTCAGGTTTGTACTGATAAAATCAAGGTCAAAAAACACTGACTGACAGGAACAATGAAGTAGAAAGCTTTGTACTTGGACCTTGTTTAATATGAATTCATTATATTTGATAAAACGTTGCGTTGCAGTATGACTTGCAAACTGAATGTAACAATGACACCACATTTAACACGACTTTTTAATTAGAATTTTTTAAATTTACTTCTGCAAAGAAAGGCTTGTGTTGTCCTCGTTTTACTGATAACAAAATTCAAAAAGTTTGGTGATGTAAGTTAAAAAAGAGAATCCCAGCATTAAATCTTTACAGGGGATAAAGTCCTGTGTTGGTTCATTGTGTTTACTATTGAACTGAAGGCAAAAAAAAAATGGTTTACTTCATATATATATATTTCATGTTGCTGTGTTTTGTTAGTCATGGATAACATGTGACGTTAAAATGTGGTAAAAAAAAAAACGTGGCACAC